AAGGAGATTTTAAAAAATCCAGCTGTAATATGTATATATAGCCATTCCCTAACGTGACTGTGAATTGCATACACTGCAAATATGTGCTAATAAAAATACACCCCGGAGGCCAGGCATGGTGGTGCACATCTGGAATCCTGGCACCCAGGAGGCTGAGGCAGAGGGATTACTGCAAGTTTGAGGTCAGTCTGGACTACAAAGTGAGTCCACGTTACACAGAGAGACCCCATCTGAAAAAAACAAATTGAAGCAGCAAAATAAAATTTATATTGTTGTTACTGTTGCTTTAATATATTCTGGAAAAATAAATCAAGCTAAAAGAAAGTATATGTGAAAACCTTAGGAGAGTAATAGGAAAGATAAGCAAAGAATACCTCAGGGTTATTATTTGGCTTGAGTGAGTCACTTTAGAATTGCTGATATTATGAAATATATTCAGTGATTCATAATACTCTTTTATACTTAAAATGCAAGGTTGTACCAAGATTTCCATTACTTGCAAATTCCAGTATATGGTATATTAAAACCCTTCTATTATCCTTGTTGACAAGGAAGGAATTTTTCATTAAATTTTAAAAATTAAAACAAATCTCATTTCAAATAGTCATTTCATATTCATGTTTTCCAAAATTCAAAGACTATCTAAGAGTGGTGGCTGTAGGATTATAAATTCCAGGGCAGCCTGAGTCACACAATAAGACCCTGCTTCAAAAAAATCAAAATCAACTAAAATAATATAAAAAGAACTGGGGTGGGAGTGGGGAGATGGCTCAGTAGAATAAGTGCTTCCCTGGCAAGCTCAAGGGCCTGAGTTCAATCCCGGGTTCTGGAAAAAAAAAAAAAAAAAAAAAGAACTGGGGAGGGGTGTAGTTCACTGGTAAAGTACCCCTTGGTTTGATCCCTAGTAGCACAAAAAAGAAAATCAAACATCAAAAATTTTTATTTGCATCCGCACTATTCCTTTATGATTTTTAAATTGGTTTTCTAAAATTAGTAGATTAAAAGTATCCATACAGAACTGTAAATGTGCATTCAAAGGAATTTCAGTGAAAATTGAAACATTTTGGAAATTCAGAATTAACTTTCCAGTGCTATATGGCTCTCTAATACTTTGTCACTTTAATACTTACAAAAGTGCTGTGGTTGCATGACTCCACCTCTCCTCCGTTGACTCACTGTCCCATTCCCACCCATGATGAGGAGCCTTTTGGAGATCTCAGCCCACGGTGTGCTGTAAGTTGGGCACTGCTGTAAGTATTTTGCCCTCCTAGGTCTTTGTGTAAATACAGTCTATACATTCTATATACTCTTCGGATGAATATGTGCTTGGCTAGAATAAATAGAAAATTCCTTAGGTTAGATTTTTAAACAAACCCCAAAGGGTAAAACTAAGACAAATTCATGAAAAGCAAAGTTTTCAGTCAGTTAAATTTGTCAAAATAGAATGGTGTGCCCTGAGGTACGGTAAGCTCCACATCAGAGGCGATGTTACCACACAGCTGTGGTGAGCGCTTGTGGGGAGAATGAAGAAACCCCACTATCAAGTACTTACTGGCCCGGAGGTGATTTTCAAATCCCTCTTTAGCCACAGATACTGTGATTCTACCACACTGCTCACATTCTTGTCTCTCAGAATATAAAAATGAATTTATTTTAAAACAAAAAATCTTCCTTTACTTCTACACCTCAAATCTTTCACCTCATTCCACCACATGTACCCCATTATCACACCTATTTATAAATTTCCTAATACATATTCAGCAATCAGTATCCTTCAACAAGTGCATTTCATTGATTTCTCCTCATCTTGGCCTTTTAAGATTGTTTTTCTTCTTTGTAATTTTCTTATATTTTTTATTATTTATTTATTTATTTATTTATTTATTTTTATGGTACCAGAGATTGAACTCAGGATGCTGTGCTTGCCAGGCAAGAGCTTATTCTACCGAGCTATCTCCCCAGCCCTCTTTGTAATTTTAATCTTAGCACATACAATTATGAGTACCAAATAATTTTGACAAGCCACTTTAAAAAGACGTAATATCATTGTGTCCTCAAGGCAGCTTATAAATAAAAAGTGAGAAGCCATACTGAACAAACTCTATCTTAAACAAGTTCAATTAACCTTTGGGATGAAAGCTTTGGGGTATGTCAAAAATAAGCCAACCCTTCCTTTAGTGGATGTCTATAAAGTGCTCTGAAATGTTTCAGTGAAGCAGAGTACAGAAGCTGAGTATCTAGTTGAATATCTTGGAACTCCTTATCCATACGTGTAGTGCACTGGTTAAAATGATATTTTAACAATCACCTAACATTTTTTGCTGACTCAATAAAGTTAACAAGATGCTGTTGAAAAAAATCTTATCAACTGTTTTATACTTTATCACATGACATAAAATATTTTAAAAGTACTTCATCTAAGCTGGTTGTCCTGGCAAATACTTGTAATCCCAGCATTCTGGGAGGTTGACACAGGAAGATTCTGTTTTCTAGAACCCAGTCTAGGCAATTTCATCAATGATGGTACAGAAAGACTTAAATGAATAAATATTTCTGTAATTATGCAATCTCAATTGTTCAGTTCTCTGAATTGTTCATAAGTGCTAACAGTCTTCAAACAGGAAATTGGAAGCATGTTTTTCATATTTTTAATCACTTAATTGTATAGGTTACATTTCCATGTTTTAAATTACTATATATTAGCTTGTTTCAGTGATAGTATACAAAAGTTAATTAGATGAAGATGCAGTTATCTTTTGCTGATAATCAAATGTGTAAATTCTTGGTCCAAAAATTCTTTAGTTTGGAAGAAGATAAAATGTCATAGACTTAAAGACTATGTGTTGACTACTTCAAAACAGATTGATACCATATTTAGAATACCTTGATATACGTGTTGTACATCATCATTGATGACCACATTTAGAATCTGGAGCTTCCCTGGGTGACTGTTCAATTTTAAAACAAACAGTTTTCAAATACTGTTTCACTTAGTGTAAAATATTTTAACAAATTTATTTATGGCATTCTAAACATCAGATTGAAATATATGTGATAGACAAGAAAATATGTAAATTGCTTTCATTTTAATACCACAGTTCCCCTTTGGAAAATGACAGAACATCTAGAAAGAAACTCTTTGAAATACTATAATCTCTTTGTTTATTGTTTAGTTTTATTTTTTTATTCATTATATTAGAAAAGATGAAATAGCAATGAAACAGCTTTAAAATAGGTTAGTAGGACAGTTACAACAATTAAAATATTGCATGATGTTGTCTTCATAGTATAGTCTCTTTTTAACTTAAAAATAAATGTGAATCATTTATATAGACATTTTCTTTGCTAAAATTATAGTATATATTATTTCATTAATATAGACATTTTCTTTGCTAAAATTATAGTATATATTATTTGGTTCTTTCTATCATATATATATATAATATATATATATGTCATCAATAACATTTGTATAAATGAATGTTCTTAGTTGACATTGTGAAAAATGCTTGATTAAGGACATATAAATAAAAGACTTTGCAGAGAACACAAAAAAGTCACAACATAGGAGGCTTATCACAATCACTTACCGCACAAATTTTTTTAATCTGAAACATTTGTACTTGACGTACCTATTTTCAACATTAAAGACACTTTCTACTTTTCAGTCTTCCGTAGCTTTCCAGTACCTTCAAGTGCCATACCAGCATACACTCTATTAATTAATACATCCAGAGTTCTCTCTTCAACAAGTAATCTTGAAAAATCAAATGAAGTGAAAATAGTTCCCAAAAGTTAAAAATATTCACCTATTTTGGGGTGATGTCGCTTGATTTTTGTCAGAGTCCCTATAATATCTCCACCCTTGAGCTAAAGGGGCATGTGTGTGCCTGTACGCCTCCCACACAGAATGCGGTGTACCCACGAGTGGTTTACCTAAGATTGAGCAACCACCCGAAAAGGCCAAAAGCACGTCTGTGAATCATCAGCCTACTGCCACTGATTGGTTGCTTCTAAATCTGACCAACTTGTTGAGGACAAATTCCTCTGGTAATCTTTACTGAACATAACTCATTAAAACCCTACTTCGGAGATCCAGTGAGTAAAAGACAATGATGGGTGTTCTTCCAGCCTCTATGTCTTCTCATATGTAAAATTCACAATAAAAACATTAATCTGCAATAAGATACTGAAGGAAGCATTGGAATTTGTGCCAACTGAACTGAAATACTGTTTCTTTGGGGTTTTTTAGAATTAGGGGTTACTGTCATAGTGCCTTTATGAGTCTTTAGGTCCCTGTAGATCTTTTGATAATCTTAATAAAGAGTACTGAGTATTTGGAAGAACAAATTGAAACAGTACAAGTATGCTATTCTAAATCCATACTTTATGCACATAACCAACAAGTTGCCATACTAAATTCCACTCATGAGTGTGTGTGTGTGTGTGCTTCAAAAAAGTCCACAGGCCCTGCTTTTTTCCCTGATCAACTCCACAGTGGTCTCTTTCAGTGAAGATAACATAGAGTCGACTATTACATATTATATGTCTATAGTATAGATAGACTAGTGGCATAAGTGATACAGAAAACAGAAAAATAAAGGGAAAAATCCTATTTCCAGGCCTGTTTCTCAAAGGCTACATATACATTAAAAGAGAAAACTTTTTCACTGAAGAGGTGAGCTAGAGTTCCTTTGAAAGCTTTTGAAAACAGAGTCCAGCTCTTTTTAGGTTTGCAACTGTACATAGACCCACAACTTCATTTGTCTTGGACAATTTACTACATTCACTTCAGCAGGGAACAGGAGATACCGAGCCGCTTTCCCCAGATGACATCCTGTTCAGTGTGGGAGTTGGAGGAGCACTGCTTTTTCTTCAACACAGTTGCTGATGAAAGGGATCTGTTAAAAAGGACTGCGATGGTTTACACTGCAGATTGAACAGAGCATTAAGTGACTGCATTAACGTGACTGCAGTGGGGACAACGGTCGTCCCTGTAATGTAACAGTACTTTGGCATAGGTGCAATAATTGTTCTCGTGCCCTTACCTAATTTGTCACGAAGTGATAGCTAGCTTCTCTCCAGCAAATGTCCCCCATCTCCTCCTCCACTGCTCAGCCCCCTCCCAGCAAGTGTAAATAGACGAGCGAATGTGTGTACTTTATGTCACCCGCGCCTCCTGAAGCTCGGGATTACTGCAAATCACTTCGAATGGCTCCTCGGAGGCGTTTGCGATATCGCCCACCGATACAGCTCAGACGATCCGAATTCGATCACATCCCTGGCTCTCTCGCCGCCCTTGCCAGTTTGGGGCTGTAATTTTCCAAACAACCACCTCTCCTTGCAAAAGTTAAAAATCAATCCACACAGAAACAAAATGCTGACTTCCTGAGAGGGCTTCTCTTTGTCGAGCTGCCAGCTTATGACCAATAAAGAGATAAAGAGGAGAGAAAGGAGAGAGGGAGAGAGAGAGAGGAGAGAGAGAGAGAGAGAGAGAGAGAGAGAGAGAGAGAGAGAGAGAGAGAGAGAGAGAGACTTGCTTCCTGCTCCCTAAGCAGGGATTTGCCTGCGATGCGCGGAGAGGACTGCGGCTGCTGATTTACACAGTTGGCGCGGAGGAGGGGCCGGGGGTGCGATGGGCTGATCTGGGGGCTCCCGAGCGCCGCTCCCTCGGTGCGCGATTTGGGGGCGGCTGATGGATTTGCTTTCGGGTTCCATCCTCGCTTTTTCCTATATTGCTTCCTAATACCCGACCTGGCGCTCCCGATTGAGGAGCACACGTTGGTAAGTAACGTGTAATCCGATTTTAGTTATTTCCTAGGCCATGAAAGTGGCACTTTTAAAGCAGGTCAGTCTTAAAAGATGCCTTCGCCGCAGCCGCGATCGTGTCCTCGGCCTGAGAGGCTCGGGGGCCCCCTCCTGTGCCCACCGCCCCTCCGGCTGCTGCTCCGGAGAGGGTGCCGACCGGATCGCTTCACCTTCGCGCCGTGCCCGAGATTCCCCGGCCAAGTGGAATCGGCGTGCACAGCCATAATGTGGATCCGTGCCCCCTCCCTCCTCGCCTGACCGTTGCCGGGAGCTGGGACCCCGTCGCCCCCTTCCCGCCTCCCCTCCGCCTCTCCCAGCTCTCTCCCTCGCGTCTGCACGCCCGTCCACCCCCACTCGCACCCAGGCAAAGGGCAAAGAGCAAAGACGCTCGGGAAAGGCGAGGGCCACTCGCGTCTCCTCGGGCAGGAGGAGGCCTTGGGCAGGGGCTGCGCTGCGAGTGACAATCTTTGGGGGAGAGCGCAGCACGAGAGAACAATCCGGGGAACCAGCCGGAGCAGCAAAGCTCGCCCCCCATCGAGAACATCGAGGATTTCCATCAGCGATCCCAGTCCTGGGACGACCCGGAGCCTGACTGCCGCGGGGCGTCTGGAGCTCGGTCCCCGACCTCGCCGGGCGAGGCGCGCGCGGCTCTTGCTTTGGTATGCGACGATCAGAGTCTCCCCGCAAGTCTCCAAGGTGGAAATACTTAAAAGGATTACAAGCGCGATTCGGCAGCCGTTCTGAAAGTTGGTAACCGGAAAAGAAGGAGAAATAGGCTACAGGATGAAGGATGGAACTGAACCTCCCAGAGAGTTTGCCCCTCCCGCTGCGCAGCGCCTGGAAGCAAACCGCGGCGGCTCGGAGCGCTCTGCGCAGCTAGGTACTCCCGCCGTCCTTTCCACTTTGCCTAATTGCAATCAGTGTTTCTGGTGTGTCGGCTGCGCACCGTAGAGCTCACAGACTGGCTTCGGCGTCTGCTATACGTTCACAGGTGCTAGGGGTTGGGTGCCTTTTTATTGGATCAGTTAGTTATCAGGAACATGGTGGAAGGAGCGGTACTGGCGACTAACGCACTCGCGGGCCCCTTCCGGGGGGAGGACGTGCTAACTCCAGCAAATAGGCCAGGTGGCGGCGGCGGAGCGAGGGACCCCTCCCCCAGTGGGTCGTTCTGTTATATTGGAAGAGACTGGAGGAAAACAGCTCTAGCTTTAAATTTTTTTTTTTTTTCATTGCTAAACTGGCCCATTGCCCCCTTTGCTTGGCGACAGTAGATTAGAAAGGATCTTTAGGAGGCTCAAAGCTCTCCAGAAAATGAATGATGCAGCATTTTAATTATTTGTTTTAAGGGAGGTCGTCTTGCTTCCATATTGGAATATTTAATCTTAGATCTGGAGAGATTAGTGAGCTTCAATACCCGGCGGAGTATTGGAGAAGAAGTGGGAAGGGGCATTCTGGGGAGAAAGAGCTTCTTGTCCTCTCTGTGGACAAACAAATGGTGCGGGCGTTCTCAGCCAGACGCAGAAGAAACCGGGCCCCAGGCCCTCCATTCCCTAACTTTTGGAGCCCTTCCTATCCTTTACGTATGCTATCTTGAGGAAAAGAAAGGGAAGCCGGTGGAATAGCCTTTAAGATGTGGGTGAAGTCCAGCACATGGGGGATGGTACTTCAAGGGAAACAGAGACTTTATTTCAGAGGGGACCATTTACTGACACCGGGGTGCACAGGTCAGGTCCTGGGTTCATCAAATCGTGGATTCCCCTAAGGTCTGTGAAACAGTCACTGCCTTTGCATGTTGGGTACTGAAGGTGCTGGGGTGGGGGTGGGGTGGTAGCTATGTGTGTGTGTGTGGGGGGGGTGGTGGGTAGAATTGTTCTGGTTTTGAGCTCAGGCGCCTAATGTGGACTTGCTCGTGGGCTGAGACCTGTCGTCCCCTGGGTGGGTCCAGACTATTAAGGGTGGTAAATGCCAGAGGATCCTACATTCACAGTCCCGGACTACTGCTCTCATTCTTGGCTACCTGGGGACAGTGCACACACGTGTGGTTATTCTATGTGCAAAAGATCCTGTGAACCTCCTATGAATGACTTTTAAAAACTGTTTTGTTGAGTTAGGTGACTTCTGTGTTTTAGATGGACAGAATTTGATGCAGGAGCCTTTCTTTTTGTTAATATTTGGTTTTGTAAAAAGTATTCTAAGGGAAAGAAGTCTCTACCTACTAACTTTGAACCTTTGGGCAACTGAGGTTGAGTTTACTTCTTCAGACCTGGAAGTCTCCCTTCCTCAACCTGTGTGTTAGTGACAGAACTGGCACACGCGTTGGGGAGTGGGAAGGGTCCATCTCCTACACCATCTCCAGGTAACTTGTCTGCCACTTAGCTCTCTCGGTGTTGCCACCGAGCTGCATTTCCTCCCAGCAGGAAGGACTATAGACTGGCAGCTGAGCCTTTGCAAACTCCCTTAGAGGGTTCCTGGAAACTATGGTCTGTCTGGTGGCTTCTCTACACTGCAACACCTTGCTTCAGTCGCTCCTAACCCAAGAAACCAAGAAGAAAGGGGGAAAAAGAAGAGGAAATAAAACACAAAGGAAAAGAAGCCCTGAATGTGGACTGCTATTCCTAGGAGGCTTTTCCAGGTGGCAGAATGTGAAATGTACTGGAGTTGGTGACCCAGTGGTCTGCTCTTTTGTCCAGAGCATTGTCTTGTCCATTTTTCTCTTTTCTTTTTTTAAGGGTGGAAGAAAATCATGATGGTTGAATTCAGGAGAAATCGAAGGCTCTGAGCTGCAGCCCAACCAAAGGATTCCTGGTGCAAAGGGATCGAAGCAAAATGCAGGAAACTCTGTCCAAGTCACTCTGGATGCCTGAGATCTTATTTGGGACACCTAGGCAGATTTGGCTTTTCTCCTTCCGGGACTGAATTTCTTTCTCATTCCATTTTTCTCAGCGACTGTATTTGCTGTGAAAGGCCAGTTCCGAAGGATAGTCTTCACTTTCCCGAACGTCAGCGGTAGAGAGAGCAGGTTTGGGAAATAGACAGAGCATCCCCGGGGGCGGGGGTGGGGAGAGAGAGAGAGAGAGAGAGAGAGAGAGAGAGAGAGAGAGAGAGAAAATCTTTCCCCACCAAAGGAATGCTAGAATATTTCTTGTACTCTTCCTCCTTTTTGTTTGCTATTTTTCCAATTTGTCATTCTCTCTCTCTCTCTCTCTCTCTCTCTCTCTCTCTCTCTCTCTCTCTCCCGCACACGCGCGCGCGCAATCGTACAGTCAGGGCTTCCTAGCGCTCGCTCCCGACCCCATGCTAAGCGCGTTCCCCTGCTTGGAGCTCATTTTCGTGACGTGGAAAGCCGGATCCAGGGTTACAGCACATATTTAAAAAAAAAAAAAAAAAAAAAAAAGGCAGCGCGAGAAAAGTCCGAGATCCTGCGCTGTAATCAAGCCTTCTTCCTCCCGCCCTTCCTCCCGGTGCCCAATGGGGTGCTGCCGGTACCCCCAGAGAGCAGCCTCCGCGGCGGCGGCGGCGGCGGCCGAGGCAGCGGCCGCGGACCTGGAAGCCTGCTGCAGCCCCTTCTCCTTCCTCTGTCGCGGACCGTGCCAAGCGGCAGCTCTGCATCCTAAAGAAGCCCATTGAAGAGCGCATTGCATTCTCAGCACGTCTCGAGCTCGCTTTTCTCCCCCTTCGGACCCCCCTTCCCCGCCCCCATCCCCTTTGGCTTCAGCTTCAGCCTAGAGGAAGGGAGGGACGAGGAACAAGAGAGAGTCCTTAAACTCCAGCTCCCCCCTCCCCCGTGCTCAGTGCTCAAAAATAAAAATCTGCAAAATAGGTAAGTCAAAGACATCTGGAGCCTGTCTTGCCTAAACTGCAGGGGTGTGGAAAACAGGAAAAAATGTTTAAGAGAAGATGGTGAGGAAGAAAGAACTTAAATCGATTTTAATATTTTATCAGCCAGCGGGGAAGACTAACTGATGCTGCAGTGTAGCTCGTCTGCCTTCTCTCTCTCTCTCTCTCTCTCTCTCTCTCTCTCTGTCTTTTTCATTTAATTGTTTCTAAAAATTGAGTATTGCACCCCAAGGCAGATTTCTCTTTGCTTTCTCACGGTTTCTTTTTTCCTTACAGCTGTGCTCATTACATGCAAGTTCACCGCAAAGATAAATTTTGAGCCCTTTCCCTATAAATTAGACCACTATATTTCAACTTAAGAAATGTATCTTTGATGTGTGTATGTGTGGAGAGAAAGAATGTGTTGGAAACTCTGATTTATTTTGATTGATTGAAACCAGCCATTCAATTTTGATTGATCCTCTAATGACTGAGGGAAGGCAATGGAATAAAGCTGTATTATAATTTATTTACAGACAAATTGTCATTTACTGATGATATTAGACAAGGAGACAGAGCCATAGAGGGAAGCTCTGTGTGGTTTTTAGAATAGTGCACTTCATTCATGTTTTCTGATTGGAAAAGGTTTTTTTTTTTTTCTGAAATGTATTTCATGTGATAGATCATTTATTAGCAGGTAAGAACTGAGGTTTACACCCTCCCTGGCCTTTCACCTCCACCTGTAATCAGCCACAAGAGCTTCTAGCTTTTTAGGGTACCTCAGTTGTTCATGAAGGCAGAGAAAGACATTCCAAACTAAGCTCTGCAAGTGTTTAAATTCAGACACTCCCAGGCTCAGCAACCTTTAGTTGTCACTATATTTAGCTCTCAGGACTGCAGGGCCATGCTCTTTAGAAGGGCTGATCTTTCCTAAATACTTTAAATAGTCAAATAATAAAGCACATAGAAGTTATTTAATTAAAGAAGATGTCAATAATCAGTTCTGCAAAAGGGGTTGGAGGGTATGGGAGGTTACTGACTGTGCGCTGTAATGAAGCATGCTTGATAGTTTCTTAAAAGAAGTCTCAACTTTTCTTGAGATGCCAGCATCTTCCACATCTCAGCCCAGGATGCTGGGCAATGGGTCCCCACTAGCATTCATAACTTTGATAACTTCAGGCGAGCTTGTGTCTTTTTAATAACAGAAATGTATATTGAGAAGGACATTTTTTTCTATCAGAGAATAAGGTTCACAATGGGTCAGTTTGAGTTTTAACAGCTAAACAAGTGCAATGGCTAAATTGTTGCCATTATCAGTGACTCTGCCTGTGCTTTAAAGGCTACACAGTATTCTAGTTCTGTTGCTTTCTGTGAGAAACATGCAGGCTGCTTTTGTTCATGTGATATGTCGTTTACCAAGTAGGGTTTGGTTCAAGAAACTGTCTTTGCCTGTTTCAAAATTTCAGAGTCTCCTAAGATTAAAATATAGGGCACACTCTAAACATTAAACATGTTGCTCGCTCATTTTGATTGTCAGTTTGGAAATGGCTGAAGTCTTTATATCGCTCTTAAATAGCCCCACATGTAGGAGTCAATTAAAATAGTACATGACTAAAAGCTAAAAATCTGCATCTTTATTTCTGTTGCAGTTTTGTAATCAAGCACGAATGATGAAACCCTCCATAGCTGAGATGCTTCACAGAGGGAGGATGTTGTGGATAATTCTTCTAAGCACAATTGCTCTAGGGTGGACTACCCCGATTCCCCTGATAGAGGACTCAGAGGAAATAGATGAGCCCTGTTTCGATCCATGCTACTGTGAAGTTAAAGAAAGCCTCTTTCATATACATTGTGACAGTAAAGGATTTACAAATATTAGTCAGATTACTGAATTTTGGTCAAGACCTTTTAAGCTGTATCTGCAGAGGAATTCAATGAGGAAATTATACACCAACAGTTTTCTTCATTTGAATAATGCTGTGTCCATTAACCTTGGGAACAATGCTTTGCAGGACATTCAAATGGGAGCTTTCAATGGTCTTAGGATCTTAAAGAGGCTATATCTACATGAGAATAAACTAGATGTCTTCAGAAATGACACCTTCCTTGGTCTGGAGAGTCTGGAATACCTGCAGGCAGATTACAATGTCATTAAACGCATTGAGAGTGGAGCATTTCGGAACCTAAGTAAATTGAGAGTTCTGATTTTAAATGATAATCTTATCCCCATGCTCCCCACCAATTTATTTAAGGCTGTCTCTTTAACTCACTTGGACTTACGTGGAAACAGGTTAAAAGTTCTTTTTTACCGAGGAATGCTGGATCACATTGGCAGAAGCCTCATGGAGCTCCAGCTGGAAGAAAATCCCTGGAACTGTACGTGTGAAATTGTGCAACTGAAGAGCTGGCTGGAACGCATTCCTTACACTGCCCTGGTGGGTGACATCACCTGCGAGACACCTTTCCATTTCCATGGGAAAGACCTGCGGGAAATCAGGAAGTCAGAGCTCTGTCCCCTGTTGTCTGACTCTGAGGTGGAGGCCAGTCTGGGGAGCCCTCACTTGTCATCAGGCAAGGAGAATGCATGGCCAACTAAGCCTTCCTCCATGCTGTCCTCTGTCCATTTTACTGCTTCTTCTGTTGAATACAAGTCTTCAAATAAACAACCCAAGCCCACCAAACAGCCACGGACACCAAGACCACCCTCTACATCCCAAGCTTTATATCCTGGACCAAATCAACCTCCTATTGCTCCTTACCAGACCAGACCACCAATTCCCATCATATGCCCTACTGGATGTACCTGTAATTTGCACATCAACGACCTTGGCTTGACTGTCAACTGCAAAGAGCGAGGATTTAATAACATTTCTGAACTTCTTCCAAGGCCACTGAATGCCAAAAAACTGTACCTGAGTAGCAATCTGATTCAGAAAATATACCGCTCTGATTTTTGGAATTTTTCTTCTTTGGATCTCTTGCATCTGGGAAACAACCGTATTTCTTATGTCCAGGATGGGGCCTTCATCAACCTACCCAACCTAAAAAGTCTGTTTCTGAATGGCAACGATATAGAGAAGCTGACCCCTGGCATGTTCCGAGGGCTGCAGAGTTTGCACTACTTGTACTTTGAGTTCAATGTTATCCGGGAAATTCAGCCCGCAGCCTTCAGCCTCATGCCCAACTTGAAGCTGCTGTTCCTCAACAATAACTTGCTGAGGACTCTGCCAACTGACACCTTCGCAGGCACATCCCTGGCTCGGCTGAACTTGAGGAAGAACTATTTCCTCTACCTTCCCGTGGCTGGTGTGTTGGAACACTTGAATGCCATTGTGCAGATAGACCTCAATGAGAACCCCTGGGACTGCACTTGTGACCTGGTCCCCTTCAAGCAGTGGATCGAAACCATCAGCTCCGTCAGTGTGGTGGGAGATGTGCTCTGTAGGAGCCCCGAGAACCTCACACACCGAGATGTGCGCACCATCGAGCTGGAAGTTTTATGTCCAGAGATGCTGCATGTCGCACCAGCTGGAGCGTCCCCAGCCCACCCTGGAGATTCTCACCTTGTTGGGGGCCCGACAAGTGTACCACCTTATGAGTTATCTCCTCCTGGGGGCCCAGTTCCACTTTCTGTGTTGATTCTCAGCCTGCTGGTTCTGTTCTTTTCAGCAGTATTTGTTGCTGCAGGCCTCTTCGCCTACGTGCTCCGGCGACGTCGGAAGAAGCTGCCCTTTAGAAGCAAGCGACAAGAAGGCGTGGACCTCACCGGCATCCAGATGCAGTGCCACAGGCTGTTTGAGGACGGTGGAGGAGGCGGCGGTGGAAGTGGGGGTGGAGGCCGACCCACTCTTTCCACGCCCGAGAAGGCTCCGCCTGTGGGTCACGTGTACGAGTACATCCCACACCCTGTCACCCAGATGTGCAACAACCCCATCTACAAGCCTCGGGAGGAGGAGGAAGTGGTTGCTGCAGCGGTGCAGGAAGCAGACAGCGCGGAACGTGGGGGTCCTGGGACACAGCCGCCAGGAATGGGGGAGGTTCTCCTAGGAAGCGAGCAGTTTGTAGAGACAGCAAAGGAGCCCCACAGCAACTACCGGACCTTGCTGGAGAAGGAGAAGGAGTGGGCCCTGGCGGTCTCCAGCTCCCAGCTCAACACCATAGTGACGGTGAATCACCACCACCCTCACCCTCACCACTCCGCAGTTGGTGGGGCTCCAGGGGGAGCTGGGGGAGCTGGGGGAGACTTAGCTGGGTTCCGCCACCACGAGAAGAACGGTGGGGTGGTGCTGTTCCCGCCTGGGGGAGGCTGTGCAGGGGGCAGTATGCTGCTTGACCGGGAGAGGCCACAGCCAGTGCCCTGCACGGTAGGGTTTGTGGACTGTCTCTACGGCACAGTGCCCAAATTAAAGGAACTACATGTCCACCCCCCTGGCATGCAGTACCCAGACTTGCAGCACGATGCCAGGCTCAAGGAAACCCTTCTCTTCTCAGCTGGAAAGGGCTTCACAGACCACCAAACCCAAAAAAGTGATTACCTCGAGTTAAGGGCCAAACTGCAAACAAAGCCGGATTACCTCGAAGTCCTGGAAAAAACATCATATCGGTTCTAACAGAAAGGAGAAAATTAATTAGTGCTTTTTTTTTCCCCAAAAAAAGAAAAGTAAAGCAAAAGAAATATATACCCTGCTCCTTTTACACGTGTCCCAGTACCTCCATCCTCGCAATCTTCCCTGCCCGGAACAGAATTGAAACCGCATGATAACTAGAGAATTCAGATGTGTGCTCTTCCCTCTGCTGCGATTGGAGGAAGGGCCATACTCAGATCATTAATCAATGAAGTGCCTTCGCAGACTTCTGCCAGCAAATGTTATCATTATTTTTTATACCGAAACTTGAGACTTTGACTGTGCCGTGTATAAGGTATATTGAGGGTCGTTGTATTGATCCTAATTAAGTAAAATTCAATGTGTCTTTTTATTTTCAGTAACTTTTTTTCCCTTTAAATGTAGTTTTGTTTAAAAGGGGGGAGGGGGGACTGACGTTTGTGGCTCTCTTTCCCCTTCCGCCGTGGCACAGTTTCTGTACATGTATTAACAATGCAGTTTGCTGCATGCCTGAAAACTGCAAGACGGGGAGGGCGGGGCGGGTCTTGCTGGAATGTTCTCACTCGATCTCTTGTCTCTCTCACATACTGCTATATGCAAACCACAAATCCCTGCATACAGTTAGGTTCCTAAACCTGCAGCTGGTGCAGGTACATACACAGACACACGCACATGCACACACACACGCACACACACACATACGCACACGCACACGCACACACGCCTCCCTTGGAGCCCAATCTGCTCAGTTCGGGTTTGATCCATTCCCCTCCTCTCCACGGCCTCACCTGCCCTTCTCTCCCCGTGTACAGCTCACGGTGTCTCTCCTAGGACCCTGGGAAAAGTCCCATTCGAGGCTGGATCCTACCGGAGTGAAGGCCTGGTGGTTTAACAGGTGGAAACACCCTGTAGGGATGAGCACCCTCTGTGACAATTCATGCTGATGCCAAGAGTTTTTGGAGAACATCTGCACTTTCTTATATATATATAAATATATAAAATATTAAAAATAAAAAAGCAACTGGATATATATCACTAACAGCTTTGTAGGAAGCACTTTTAATGTTTTCTCTCTCACACACAAAGATTCAAAAGAAATGTGCATATATTTATTCTGTAATTTCAGTGATTATAAATTGTAAAGGTAATGTTTAATCATTGTATAGTGATTATGCGTCTGGTATAGCTTTCCTAATAAAAAGATTTTGAAAATCATAATACATTATATATAGAGGATACAAAGCTTGAAACTTAAGCTTCAGCTATGCCATGCCTTTTGTGCGCCCATTTTAAAGTAATTATTTCTTTTACTTGTTATACAGAACGCTAATTTATTAACAAGTTTGATGCACTGTGATATTGATAAGTCTTATAATTGATCGCCCTTACTCCATATCAGGATGCAATTGGGATTCAACAATGGCTGAGTTATAGTTCATTTCTTTTTCTTGGACTGTGAATTCCAAAGTTAGTACCCCAGAAAGACGCTGTTTTTTTAGGCATGATGCATTTGGAAGAAAATAAAATCAACTAGATTGCTAAGAAGTATAGGGTTTTTTGACGAAGGCACTTAAAGATCCATGCATCTTAAGGTAGTAAATGACTTAAAGGAAGTAGTGAAATTGTTGTCTGTAAGAAATTAGGCACTAAAATTATACAGTCACCAACACTCCACCCCACCCACACATATGCGACACAGTCAGAATCAAAGGCGTTGAAGCCAATTTGACTGTCAGTATGCCGTTATCTATGAAAGATGTCATTATAATATCTAGCCACTGTTTCTCCCGATCACTGACTGCAAAATACCCCAGGAATGTTTGAACTTAAAACACAGAATGCTGAATGAGTGTTACTTTCTGTATGACATTGAAATAATTTGGGAAAATTAACTTGACAATAATCCAAGTTGTGTTCCATTTACCTGTGCATGAAACCAAAGAAAATTGGATTTTAGGACGCCAGTACCTTGATAAAAAGAAATCCGAGTTTTGAGACAGGCGTGTATCGTGCTAGGCCAGTAGAGGGCAGCAGAGCTCCAGCGATCCACAGCCTTGGTAGCTACAGAATTGCTCAGTGAAGTGTTTTCTGCCAGCGTTTCTTCAAGCTGCTCTCGGTAGAAATTATCGTTACGTGTTGAATGTAACTCATCCCAAGTCACTGATGCCTTACATCACATTTTTCCAACAAAAAAGGAATAAGACCAGCAGTTTTTAAAGCTGGGTGGTAGATAAAGCATTAAGATAGTGTATTAAAGAAAAAAAAAAAGCCTAAGAATATCTAGAACCCATATAACCCTTGATTACTCATATTTAACTATCATATAGAAAATTAAATATACAAAGATAACAACACAAAGTGCAACTTTTCAGGACTATCTTGCATTTCATATGCTGTACCTATAACTTTTACCCTCAAATATTTGAAATATATTTTAAAGTTCTTTAGGGAAAAATGTGGACACAATTTACGATTACTTTATGCAAAAATACTAAAATGAAGCTATACTTATTCAAGATAATCGGGCCCATTATTAAATGTTAATGTTCTTCTCTCTTTCTCTTTTGCTCCCTTGCGGCTTTTGTTGAGATAGGGTGTCATTATGTAGCTCAGGCTGGCCTCGAACTCGCCATGGTGCTGAGGCTCAAAGGCTAGAAGTGTGAGCCACCACCTTCAGCTTGCCCTCCTTGTATTTTTAACTTTCCTATAGGTCATAGCTTTCCAGGGATCTCACTTTCCTCCTTTGTAATCTTTTCTCTTCTTCACTGATTTTTTTTTTTTTTTAAGATACAGAAAGCCTTGGGTTTTAAAACTCTCTAAACTAGAGGTTTATCATAGTTCCATTCCTCTTACTCAGATATTTCAGGGTAGAAGAAGTACATGTAAATCTGAAATGCTAATCTATACATCTCTGATATTAATAATCATTTCTTTAATAACCATGCACACATCTAAAACATTGTATATTATACAAATCAGGGTGAAGTACAAATCCCTAGTGACGCTGGTGCTTTTGACATTTAAAAAACGAATCTCCATAAACCGTATCAAATTATAATATCTCTAGTAATTATAATGTTTATTCTTTGTTTATCAAATACAGAAAGTAAGACTATCTTGTCTTAAATACAAGCAGTAATTTCACTCTTGGATGAGAAACACATTTTTTCTCCCTGTGAAAATAAATTCATATGAGAATAGATTTTTGTATTCAACATGACAAATTTCTGCTTCTAAGGATTTGTCTACATCTTGGCTAAGCCACTTATTTTAAATTTTCATTAAAGTTACTTCCTTCAGCTTTATTTTGTAATACCAGATATGTATTCTGGTGTCATGGATATTAATACAATTATAGATTAGAATTTGTTTTACATTTTTTCAGAAATAAAATACTTATTTCTTTCAAAAACAGATAATTCATTTCTTAGCAATATCCAGCTATTAAAGTAAACCAAAATTTGACAGATATTTGCTATTACCCATTCTTATTTTTACGAGTAAATATAGTAATAGTATCTGGAAATGAACATTGTAATATTCCTTGAACTATACATTATTAGCAGAAAATAATTGCAAATGAAGTACTAGTTTAACATGTTATATATCATTCTATGTCATTATTTATGTGGGTGATTTTATATTTTTATTTAAGAATAAATATTATTTTATCTAATTGAAAAATATTTTAAAAATAAGGATGTTGAATACCATATTTTAATAAAACTTCAGAGAGGGAATCACAAAGAAAGTTTAATGACTGAATTTGAAAAAAGTTTTTGCTTTTTCCCTCTTTTCTCCCTCTTTAGCTGGGAATTTTAGGGCTATGCTCTTGCTCTATGAAAAGAACGGTATTTGTGTTTTAGATTATGAAAACTCATGATGTAGTCTCAGAACAGAAAAACTTTTTAAAATAACATGATAGAACATTATTGGATTCATTTACTGTAAATTCATTTTTTGTACAGGTCTGTCCTTTGGCAAATTATTGTTTAAGCTAACACTTGTACTTTTATCAAATGGCTAGGACAAAGGAAATATTCATGAAATGTTTTCCAAAATATGAGGCCCGTGATTATAAAAGTCAAGATTGCTGTGAGTGAAAACAACCTCTTCATCTTCAGTGATTTGATCTAATTTCATTGGAACCTAGACATTCATTATACATAGTTAGCTCAAATTCTTACCTATGAAAATTCAGGTGAACAGAACACAAATGTCATTCATTCACCCTGTAAGTGTTCTGTTTAACATATTGTAGGTCTTTTAAAGGTAATAGGAGCAATAACACATGTGTAATTGGGCAATCGTGTGTGTACATATATATACATAGTGCTATTATATATGTATATACCTTGTATATACATGTATATAGTTTATATATGTTGAATTATATGTAAATTATGCATTTTTCTTATATGTATAATAATTTTAGTTTTATGCACTGATTTCTCTTGCATCTGTCTAGCCTCCATCCAAGGAAGCTGGGTGGGATAAGTTTTCAGTTTGAAAATATTCACATGTAAAAAGTAAAACTGTAATTAATACTTCTGAATTTAAAACGTCTTTTATCTTCCATTTTGTTTCATTTTATTATTTAAGTCCTAGGGGCAGATCTCAGTTGAGTTGTGATATATCTTAAGTTAAATCTTTATGGCAAAGGAACTAATATCTTACAAGTATGCAACTTAAGTCAAATGAAAAACAAATGCTTCTTTTTTTGATTTTTCTATTTCTAGAATAAATTTTACAGGTGAAAACAATTTCAGTACCTTTCTTAATTAGATAATATCTTTGTAATTTGCTAAGTATGTAGAAATACTGCTATAAAGAAGGGTGAATATAAAAGAAGTAAAAATTGAGTTTAAGAAATTCATCATCACAGTTTACTTCTTTTAACCTGAATCCTTACTAATTGTAGTGACAGTAATAGAGAGAGAGAAGACTATTTTTAGTGTGCTTAGATGGAATCTAAACTGAACATTTTTACTATCAAGAAATCAGGTGTACCTCAGGGCTGCAGGCTGTGGAGAGACAATGCTTTGGCCAGTTTAATTTTCATAACATCTCCTACAAATATATATATATATATATATATGTATCAGTAGCCAATGTGTTTATGTATATGGAAATATATTATTTCCTTTCTATTGCATTTATATGCATCATTTTCCAAGTGATTTTATAAATCTAATAGAAAATAATACTTGTATTCTTCACAGATAAATAGAAAATAATGCTTATGACATTCCTCACAGTGTATTTATGATTTGATGCAATACCGATATATCTTTAAATATTAAAACATGCTTAACATTACAAAAAGGAAGGCTTCCTTCAGTACCACTTAGTAGTAGTAGTAAAGCCCAGAGT